TTAGAGGTGTTACAAGAGAGTAACAAACACAATAAGGTCATATAAGTGCCGAAGATTAGAGGTGTTACAAGAGAGTAACAAATACAAAAAAGGAGGGGAGATAAATACGATATATGTTTGGTATGAAAGAAGAAGCAAACCACACCACAGCACCTTCCAACCACCCACACATAAAATGTGTTGAGACTCTCACGGAACAGGGCAGTCATCTAGACGAAGACAACAGCAAAAACAACAACAAAAATAACAAATAAAATAACAACAACATCAACAGCAACATCAACAACAACAGCAACAAAAAGTAACAACAAAATCACCACCATCAAAAGCGACAGCAACAAAACAACAACAACAACAACAGCAACAACACAGAGCATCTAACTTTGAGACATTGTTGCACAGAGTGGCCATCATGTCAACAACAACAACAACAACAACAACAACCACAGCAACAGCAACATCAGCAACAACAACAACAACAACAACAACAGCAATAATAACAACAACAACAACAACAACAACAACAACAACAACAACAACAACAACAACCACAGCAACAGCAACATCAGCAACAACAGCAACAACAAAGAGAATCTAACCTTGAGACACTCGCAGCACAGAGTGGCCATCACGTCTGGCAAAAACAACAACAACAACAACAACAACATGACAACAACAGCAACAAAACAACGACAACAACAACATGACAACAACAGCAACAAAACAACAACAACAACAGCAACAACATGAGCAACAACAGCAACAACAAAGAGAATCTAACCTTGACACACTCGCGGCACAGAGTGGCCATCACGTCTGCAACAACAACAACAACAACAACAGCAACAACAAAGAGAATCTAACCTTGACACACTCGCGGCACAGAGTGGCCATCACATCTGCAACAACAACAACAACAACAACAACAACAACAACAGCAACAACAAAGAACATCTAACCTTGACACACTCGCGGCACAGAGTAGCCATCACGTCTGCTTCTAGGGTCGTTAACTTGACCAGGCAGTCCAGAGTCCCCGCATCCAGGTACTGAAACGTAACGCATACAGTCACACACATTTGTGTCAAGACGTGGTGGGATCAGGCGCTCGTCAATTTTTGGGATGTGGAGTTATTGGTATCATCTAAAAGCATAATTATTTGCTTTGATTTCAGTGAAAAAACATCCATCTAGCTGGCTCTCTCTCTCTTTCTCTCTCTCTCTCTCTCTCTCTCTCTCTCTCTCTCTCCC